AGAATTTGTCATTCCCTTATTATAGTTCCATTCTCTTAGAGTGAAAAAGTTCAGTTCTAATGAACATTAACAGGGTTAGAATGAACTATTAAATAATTTGGATTGTCTTAGACATGGTAAATAACTTCTTATTACAGGGCACTTTTAAAATATATCACTCTTAAAATAAATACAACCTTAAAGTTTAAACGGTTGAACAAAATCAGGTAGCAGTAATTCAACAGTAATAGAAATAACAAGAAAATGAAAACCAAAATAAAAATAGTATACCAAAGTGAGAGTTACTGCCATGGGCAGTAACTTTTTTTTTTTTTTAAATAACTATCACAAAACTATCACAGGTCTCAAACTATCAGCAATAAATGCTGGAACTTTTTAAAATAAAATTTATAACAACATATGTTATTTTGTGAGGCCCTAAATTCAATCCCTACTACTGTAAGAAAAAGTTCTTTTTGAGTAGGATAAATCAAACTTTAAAAAATATTTCATTTTATATGTAGTTACAATGGAAGACACAGCTCTAAAAATTACCCTAATAAATCTAACATGGAGAGGAAATAAAATACCATTCATCAACCGTTTTTAAGCTTCCAATAGAAGAGCTTCTGATTTATTTAATACCACTCCATATTCCCTTCATTCAGCAAAGCTCATAAGCTACCATAGCGAGTCACAGACTGCTGTGCAGTGAAAACGACAATCACTGCAACAAGAGGGTAGAACAAAAAACGTAATATACTCAAAAATATTTTTGTTTTTGTTACTCTTATTGGGGCAAAAGGAAGCAATTAACCCAAGTCTATAAAATATTAAAAATGGAAAGAGACTTGAGTAAGGTCGCTTCTTCCCACCAAAGCATATTATTCTAACATCTGAACAACAGTCCTTACTTCCTCAGCCTATAAACTCATATGCAACTCTCCAAATTGTCAGAGAAATATGAAATGAACAACTCCCACTATTTGTTGTTAGGTCACTGTTCCTTGAGAAGTCCTCCAAACTGCCTTTAAAACCCAATCCTTACCATAGCGTTCTGGGAACTTCCTTGAGTAGTAAGGAGTATAACAAAGCAAGATGCACAGCACTTTGTGGTATGCATTTTCCCAGGACAGGTAAGACTAGAACTGCTAAAGACTGAATTAACAAACACCTGCAAATCTAAGAAAGCGGACACAGTGCTTACCAAGTAAGACTGAAAACTTAAATTCGCTAACAGTTTATTTCTAGAGTCCTTGCTAGGAAGCATGCAAAATTAAAATTCTGGCCTTTTAATTTCAAAGTAAAGACAAGTATCTGAAAGTACTCCCTTTGGTCAAAGATACTCATTACAAAAATTTTTTATTGTGTGGGGATAGGATATTGATTCTGATCATTGAATCTATGCCCTTGTTCTAATCATTTTCTCATTAATGTCAACTTCTAAACTAACATTAAGAAACAGAAAATTGTTCAACTAATCACATAAAAATGATCAAAAACTGTCTGCCATCCCATTTCACACACACAGTTAAATAGTCTTAGTACAAATGGTATATGTCCTCTTTAGCTGCAGATTTCTGATTTTTCTCTGGTGTGGTAGCACTCTAAAACCTGTACTGGGATCTTAAGGTTATGTCTCTAAAAATCCACATGGTTCTCAGTATAGTTGTCCTATGAGTTTGGACTACATCCTTGGTTCTCAAGTTTGGTCTCTAGACAAGAAAAATCACCATCACCTGTAAACTTGTCAGAATGGAAATTAGGAAATCCTACCTGAAATCCAGTGAATAAGAAACTGGGGGAGAGGCCAGCAGTATGTATTTAATCATTAGCTGATTTGGGTCTGTGGTCAAGATTGGAAACCTCTGTACTATCTCAAACTATCAACATCCTACTTTGATTAGATCAAAGGTCTTATCTAGAACTAATGCTACATTCAAATGAAGTCTTTCAATCCTTCCCAGAAGTCTGAATACCATAATCAAGAATATGGCCATCTATTAATATTTAAAATTTTATCTATAAAAATGCAGCAAAATTTGTATTAGCTAGCTTTCTCCAAATAAGCAGACACCATGACAAATGTATGATATCACTTTTACATCAGTGATCTCCAAATTAAATACTGGTTTTCTTCACATTGGTAATGTATGAACTTATTCTAGCTGCTGTGAAAAACAAACTTATATTTTTGTGACAGTTAAGGTGTAGGCATTTTGCTCTTATTTCCCAAGATCACCTGCTACATAGAGCTTTGTCTCACTTCCATGTTCTCTTCCCCCCACCTATAAGAAATGCTGGGAGTTCACTCAAGAGAGCATGCCAAAACATGACTGCCCCAACAGTTCATGTTGAGAAGTCCCACTCCAAGGGGACAAGTAACTCACCTGGAAGAATGAGGTCACAGACATTTAAAGAAATTATAATCTGAAAGTTTTCAAAATGTGGAAGTCTATTTCAACAGTTAAGAACAGGAAAACTGTTTTACTTAAGAACAACTCTCAAAAGATGAAGGTGTAAGTCTTGAGATGACACTTTCAACTATCCAGAGCCTATAACAGAAACAATATCCTTTGAAATGACATGAAACCCAGATGACTGTCTGGGACCAAAAGGAAAAGCTGTTAAAAGACAGCAAGGGTCAAGTTTAATAGTCAGACTTTGCTCTCTAAGAAGGCTCCTTTCCCATCCAGTTTGTTTTGATCAGTGATTGCCTTACCACAAACTCCTCCCTCCCTGACTCACTTCCTTATCATTCTAAGTCAACCCAACATTTTCATTGAAACAAATGCTCTTATCTCTTCACACCGTAACACCAGAAGGGGCTCTTCCTACTCAAATAAATTGACATATTCTTAAAAACGTTTTTTAAGGAAAAAAAAAATATACAGGAATGATCCTAAATTTCTCTCCATTTTGTCAGGAATAGACAGGGGAAAAGTCAAAAAACTGTGAACTGCTATTTCCCTGTTTGGGTACACACAAAGCTGCTTTAATTGGGAATCCAGAGGCATTTATTTTACAGTACTCAGTAGAAACATATTAAAATCTTCTCTGCCATCCTAAACCTATGAGGAATCTTGTGTGAAGGTGACTAATGCACCCAGCAATCTATTTCATTGTTTCCCACTTTCTAACATTTCCTTTAAGGAGTACATACATTTCTTAAACTAGTTATACACTTAGTAGCATTTTTGCCCAAAGACTTCCAAATAATAAAATAAGAGGCACTAAACACATTTAAAAAAAAATCCTTCAGACAGTACTTGACATATCTTCAGAATTTTCAACACTTTAGATATACTTAAACAACTAAATTTACTCAAATGCAAGAATGAATTTTTTCCAAGGCATTAATCCGAGCAGTTTTCCTCAATCTGTACATTTAGATTATTTATAATATTGCCTTCCAATTGTGTTTGCTATTAAGTCAGAGTGGGAAAAAAATGGCACTAGGACCTCACAGGCAAAACTTCCTCCTTCACAGTAGAGAACTGAGATGCAAGAAGAAAAAAAGCAGAAAAGAAAAGACTTTAGGGCAAGATATGTTGATAGAGCTTTAAAGAAACCTGTGGCCTATAATTTCTTTGGGCTTTGTCAGGGGAATAAGTCCCCACTAAAAGAGTAGTCAGACATCATCTTCATCAACCTAAGGAACATATCAAGCACTCAATATAAACACTTTCCTTATTTTGTAGATGTTATTTTACTGACTAAATGCCTCCTTAAGAAAAATTTTAAAAGCTCACACTGCCTCCTACTGTTAGAAGGGAAAACGTAGGTCAAATATAGTCTGTCCACAAACTGCAGAGTGCAATGACAGCAAGGAATTGTCTTAGCTTGTTTTTCTTTTTAATCTAATATCTGTTTCCAAATGAAACCTCCAAAGGGCTGAAGTAGTCTACAATGCCCACAAAGGCACTGTAAAACACACTAGTAGTACTACTTCAGAATTAGAAACCATCTTCCCCTAACATGGTTTGGACTTGATACATGACACAAATAAACAAAAAAGTTAAGACTATAAAGTGCCACTCTACTCTGCCAGAAGGATGGTCACTCTCCGAATCTAAGGGAGTATTGGCAGTTGGTCTCTCCTCTTCCCTGTCTAGTGTTGGCAGAATAGAGTCAAGGTAGTCCTCATCCATAGCTTCCTAGCTTGACAATTTTCTCCATACTTAAGAAATTGGAAGTAGTGTCATGCAATGTGTCAGTCAATGAGATACTTCCATTCTCAAATTTTGGCAAACTCTTGATGCCATGACGCTGTTTTACAGGGAATACTGTAAATCTCAGAATATGAAACACAGAAACACAAACAATAGTTTTGGCTTTGTTTCTTTAAAAATGACATTTGTATTAAAAGTCTTAAAATGAAGAGACAATGATTAAACGAGTGGAATTAAAAATTACAATTTGTTAGAATTTTCTTGGTACATCACAACAGCAAAACTTTGCTCTTTGCTTCTGGAGGAACACCCTATAACAGATAATCAAAACATTTTTTTAAAATAATATGAAAAGGGAGCTAAATACCTGAAGGTGAAACAAAATGAAGCAAAAAAAAAAAAACAAAAACCCATTGCAAGACATGGACATTGCGTTTTAAAGGCTGAAATAATAAAGAATTTCATTAAACAGCAGGCCCTATTGTCCTGACTCCTTCAGGAAGAAAACTGGGAAGCGGTTCAGTTGGGGGAACAGCAGATTCTGGGATTTGGTGGGAAGTTCACAGGTTGGCACCGGCTGGAACAGCTGAGTTTTGAAGGCACTCTGCAGACACAGGGGTGCTGGGGGCCCTGAATCACATTTGCGAAGTCTTTGTACTGTATTTTTAAACGCTAGTCAGTAAAATGTTACTACTAACCAAAAAAAAAAAAAAGCTAAACTTAAAAAACACACACACAACAGTACACACAACAATGTGCAGGTCTGTAACATTTTTCACAGCTGATTAAAAAAAAATACTAACATTCTCCCCCAGACTCCCCTTTGATACAGTAGGTAAACAAAATAGATTTTTTTTCCACAAATATCAGCAGACACTTTCTGGCAACCCACACTGTATTGGCATCAGTGTTAACAGTCCCAGTTCAGATGTGCAATACTTCAGATTGGATATACTGTAACAAGAATCCAACTTTGCATAGACATCCTCGAATCGCAATCAGTCACGCACGGGGTTACCCTTCCAAGCTGGCAGAAAAGGAACCCGATCTTAATTTCCAGCTACTCCTGGAAAACAAGGGAAAAAACAAAAGTTTCTTCCCCTCCTCCTGCTCCTTCATATGGTTTTCCCGACCTTTCTTCCATGTATTTAAAACTTCGAACTAGAAAATGAGTGAGTGAGAGCGAGACTGAGAGAGAGAGAAAAAGAGAAAGAAAGAGAGAGAGAACACCCAACCTTCTTCCTCTCCACTTCTCCCCTTCCCCATCATTTTTTCCAGGCTTGAAACTTTTGATAGCCGGGTGTCAAGCTGCCAATACAGCGCCTTCACGGCTACTTGCACGGGGAAATATGCGTCGACCGAAATCAATGAGAAACGTACATGCTGCAAAGACCCACATTTCCACCAGGGTTTCGGATGGTCAGGACGGGACACCCCCTCGGACACAGGGTGAAGGCAGGGGATCCTGGCCACGGAAGCCAACGGGGTTCCCGGGGCATCCCGGCCAATGCAAAGTCGTCTCCAATCTCGAAGCAAGAAAAGAAATCACATGAAGAGAGTCGGGTGCGTTTGGCTTTTGTGCGCAGAGCATGGCGAGCGGCGGCGGCCGGCACCTCAGAGGATCACGCAGGCGGAGCAGCAGCCCTCGTCGCCGTTGGGCTGCGCCGCGTAGTTCATCTGCCGCACGATCTCGGCGAACAGCTCATCCACCGAGGCTTTGTTTTTGGCCGAGGTCTCCATGAAGGGGCAGCTCCACTCCTCGGCTAGGGCCTTGCCCTCGCCGTACGACACCTCGCGCTCGCCCTCCAGGTCCACCTTGTTGCCCACCAGGATCATGGGGACGCGCTCGTACCGCTTCACGCGGATGATCTGATCCCGCATGGGCTTGATGTCCTGAAAGCTCTGCTGGTTGACCAGGCTGTAGACGAGGATGAAGCCTTGGCCGTTCTTGATGTACAGGTCCCGCATGGACGCGAACTGCTCGGTGCCCGCCGTGTCCAGGATCTCCAGCACCGACGGCGACGAGTCCACCTCGATCTCCTTGCGGTAGAAGTCCTCGATGGTCGGATCGTACTTCTCGATGAAGGAGCCGGTCACGAACTGCACCGTGAGCGCGGACTTGCCCACGCCGCCCGAGCCCAGCACCACCACTTTGTACTCTCTCATGGCTCTGTCGGCGCTCGCACCACGCCTGCCGCGGCCCCGTCGGGGCTGCGCGCCTGGGAGGGCTGGGCTCGGCGGGTGGGCTTCTCCCCTTCCTCAGCCACGCAGGAAAACCCGGGAGCGAGTGGCCCCCGAGCGCACGGCGCACAAGTCACCACGCGGGGACCCCGCGCCAGGCCGGCAGCGGGTGCGTGGGGCACGGGTCCGGGGCCCCGCAGCAGTCCGCGGCGGTGGCGGCGGCAGAGCAGCAACAGCCTTGGCGGCGGACCCGGAGGACAATGCCGGCAGCCCGAGCGAGGCGACGGCGGGAGCTCCTGACCGCGGCAACCCGGGAGAGCGGGGAGGCGGTGGCGGCTGGCTGCGGAGGCGGCTGCTAATTGCGCGCCGGGCTGGGACACGCGTGGCATGAGTCCCCGCGGAACGTGCACCCACCGCCGCGGCCCATCGCGCTGTCTCCCGCACCCTCCGCCGGCCGAGGGCTTCCTACTCGCCGCGCGCAGCCCAGCCCACCCCGCCCGGGCGAGCATGCCCAGTGCGCCTCCCGCCGCGCCCCGCCCGAGCTCCCGCTCCGGGTTTTGCTTCCTGCTCGACCGGCGGGGGCGGGGCTGGAGGCGGGGCTGGAGATTTGAGTCCGCAGAGGTGGATTCCGAGCCCGGAAGTCGTGAGTGAGCGGGAATAACGGAGAAGGAGCCGGCAAGGCGCAGACTGGAAGACGGGAGTCGCCTGTGCCCGCACGGCCCTGGGGGAAGCATGTGGGCGCGGCGAGCCGGCTCGGGGGTGCAGCGGGCTGCGCCATCAAAGCGGGGAAAAGGTACCCTGCGCCCGGGGAGTGTGTGCTTCTCGGGGCCGCAGAAGGCACCACTCCGCATACGCTGGCCGGCTCTTCTCGTACGGCATTCCCCGAACCAAGAAAACGGGAAGCACTCGGCCCGAGACTCCGTCCCGACTCGGGATGGAGGCGCCCCGGGCTCTTTCCGGCTGGGTTAGGGTGGGGTCGACCCACCTACCCACAGGGCTGTGACAAAACCCGGAAAAGTGGAGCAAGTCCCAATCCAGAGGTCTCGGCGGCGCCCGCAGTGAGTCAGGGCATGCTCAGTCGGCAGGGCAGGTTTTCGGCTTTGGGAGTAGGAAGCTTTTGCACCACACACCCACAGTCCTTCTCGAATTACTTCTCCCAGGCTCGCGGCTCATTGGCCTCCGGGCGCGAGTCTCACACCCCCTACTGCTTTCCCATTGGCTGCCGCCCAGCCTTTATCAGTTTGCACTGCTTCATTGGCTGAAAAGTAGCCTCCGCTCGGGATTGGCTATTTATAGAGACGGAGTTGGGGGGTGGAGGCCTAGCTGTTCTCTCTCCGCTGCTCCCAGCCCCCTTCCTCCCACTTCCCCAACCCAGTCGTTTTGAAGCTAAAAGTGAAAAAAATAAAGAATTTAGGCGAAGAGCTCAGAACTAAATATAGACCTTTGTTAGTGTTTTGGAGCGAGGCTGACTTCTCGGTGCCCAGTCACGATCGTCCCTAAAAGGCAGCAGGTAGAGCTGCTCACAGTTCTCGGTCTGCAAGAAGCTGCAGAGTACCCGTGTTTCTTAAGAGAGGCAGGGGGTGGGTGCTTGCTGAGCCACATGGGTCCTCCCGGCCTGGAGAGGTAGGGGATGCCCAGGCCTGCCTCTAGGAAGCGTCTGCCGTGAGGCGGGCGGTCGCCAGACTTGGCTGGACTGGCACTCGCGGGAGGTGCGGCGGAGCTGCCCGGACTTGCTCTGCTTCTGCCCGGCTCCTGGCGGAGCGAGGAGTCAGGACCTGTCTCCCAGCAGAGCCGGCTGTGCGAGCCGCAGGGAGAGGGGTGGGGCGAGGTGGGTCTGCCTGCTGCCTCTTTTGTCCCTTGCCTCTGCCCTCTCTTGTAACCGTCCCCATCCGGGGTGGACGGGCGCTGTGCTGACACTGGGTTTCAGCTCCTGTCCCGCTGTGACTCACGGCCACCGTTGCGACTTGACCTTCCCTGGCCCTGACTGCAGCTCCTACTGCGAGTCGGTAGCGCGAGGTCCTGGGGGCAGCGGGGCGCGGGGGAGGGGGTTGCCTGCCCACTTCCCTGCTGTTTAGTGAACACGAGACTTTCACCTTTGGTATAGAATGTTTGGATATGATTATGTTTATGTAATTGTCTAAGACACGTTCTCCTCATCTAGCTGGGTAGAATCAGTGCTCAGCGTGTGCCAAGCGTTTTGCATGTGCTAGCTCAGTAATCAGCATGCCCAGCACGCCCATTTTAAGGATAAGGAAACCGAAGCCCTGGAATGTTCTATAATTTGCCTGAGATTTAACAGCTAGAGAATGACAAAGCTTAGATTCCCACCGAGGTGTCTGGCTGCAGAGCCGGGTCTCTAACCACTAGACAGCATGACGTTGACATGAGAACATTCCCAGCTTTTACTCTTCGATTGAACCTAGAGGCATTGTGAGCAGTCTGTTAAACGCAAGCTGCCTCTGACCACCCTCTCGTCCTGCCCTGCAGTGTCCCTTCCCACAGGATCATCCGGGCCAGGCCTTCCCATGTGGTTCCAAACTCACGTTCAGGAACTGTTAGGGACTGAACTTACCCCTGTCTCCAAGAAATGGCTCTTTATTGGGGTTCTTTGGACCTCTTTTAGTACAGAAAGATCTGTTGGGGGTAGCTTTGTCTTCCTGACACCTTGGAGGAGCCCAGGAATTCTTAGTTGACGCCTCGTTGTTCAGGTTCTTGTGAAGAGGCATTTGTTGAGCTGGGAGGAAAGGGCACAGTTTAACAGCTTGTTATCTTGGTTTATAACTTAAATACTTACACTAATGCTATTTTATCTAAGTGGATCTCTGTGTGTACTCCACAAAGGTGTGGTCTGTGTATGATGACATGGAAGAGAGCACTTTGTCCTGTTGTCTGATCTCCAATATTGTTTCTCAGTTCTGGGGCCTAGGGAAAGTCATTTAAGCTTCCTGACCTTAGTTTCCTTATCTTTAAAATGGTGATAATAACCCTTGGATAGAAACTAATCACCAAAGCCCTCATTTTGCAGCAGAGAGAGCTGAACAGAATTAGAACCCTGGTGCCCTGGCTGCCCTTTGTGGAGCCAGATATTCCATAGGGAGAATAATGAACAGATAATGGAGGGAACTTTCTTAAAGCTGTAGTGCAGTATGCATGTATCGAATTACTGCTGAGACCCAGGCAGCCTGGTAGTCCCATCTGGAAAAGATCAACCACAGAACTCCAGTAACCGTGTGTATGAGTGTCATTGAACCTGATGGCCTGGTCGGTCCCAGAAAGATGCCACAACCCCAGTGCTTTCTATCAGGGATTCTTCAATAGCAATGTTTGTTACTTTGTCCTCCCACAGATAGATTTTCATGGGGTATTGGGATTCCAAATGAAGCAAAGGTTACATGGCTTAAGGTTTACTTCCTCTTATGAAATCTGTTAGGACTGTTTTTTTTTTAAATTTTTTTCACTTTACACACATCTTATAGCATGTTTCTATTATATATATATATATGTATGTATATTCTATACCATAATTATTTACATACCTGAATCTGGTTACCCTAAATACCATGCTTAATCTTTTGAGCTTCTACTGTTTCTCACAACATTTGGTAGTAGGGGGTCCTTGATAAATGTTCACTGGTGAATATATGAATGGCATTCCAGCCCTTTTCTGGACGTTATATTAGCCCTTGTGAGACATAGTATTTCCTTCTTTCACACTTTAATCCTAACTATTCAGGAGGCAGAAATCAGGAGGATGGCTGCTCAAAGCCAGCCCAGGCTTTCCTGCCTGGAAAAAACACATCCACAAAAAAGGGCTGGTGAAGTGGCTCAAGGTATAGGCCCTGAATTCAAACTTCAGTACCACAAAAAAAGGAAAAATGTATACCAATGTTTAATTCTCCCTCAGTCCCAAAGATTTGGGAGTGATGCAAGTCTACTTACTTGAGTGGAGACACTCAGTCCATACAATCTTGGAGAAAGACACCACGGTACCTCATGGATAAATACACATCCTCTGAAGAGGACATCTTGAGATACCATGAAAATGCATTTCTGGAAAACATTCTGAATTAAAAGCCTCCAGGTAAGGACAGCTTCATCAACAACACTGAATGTTACATAGACACAGATACTATCCCTGACTTTTGGTCTCACAGAAGTGTTACTGAATTCCTTCTAAGATGCTGGGGCTGGCCCTTCAAAGAATTATAAGATTTGTTAGAACATGAATCTTTAAAGAAGTACTCATTTATACAAAGTAAATAGAGGTTGATTGCATAATATTCATATTTAGCTTATCTCAAAGATAGTTATAAAATTTTAGACAAATTCTTTGAATTTTGATAACACCAAATTGATAGTGACCACGTATCACTATATTACAGTGCAAGATTTCCCAACATGGCACCGTACATCTGTAATCCCAGCACTTAGGAGACTGAGGCAGGAGTATCACCACTTCAAGACCAGCCTGGGCTGCATAGGGAAACCCTAGCTGAAAACTATTTTCTTTAAAAAGGTAGAAGATTAACTGTGTCTTGCAGAGTTCTCTACAAATATTTGCTAAATAATATCACCTATATTCTGGTCTCTTTTTCTTATTTTAATTCTTCTTCAAAGGAATGTATATATAAAATGTGTATATAACTTAAAATTCAGAATTTCTACAAACTTTTTTATAGGTCAAATTAAAAAGATAGGAGAATCAAAAATAATTGTTATCTCAGGATTAGTTCAATATTGAATAACGGTTTCAACATGTAAGTTAATATACTTGCCATTTTTTGATGATGAAAACCACTTTAGTCTCCACACAGAAGTCATCCTGGCCTGCAGGTCACACCAGGCTAAGGTAATAGCACATTTCTCACTCAGAAGGTTGGGGTTTGCCATAAACTCTTATGAACAGTTTAAAAGATAATGTCCTTCCTCCCTAAGATTAGTGATATGACCTTTTCTGTCATGCAAGTCTCAAATTGGCTTGAGACCCTGATCTGTGTGGAAAAACCACAGTCTGCTTATAGCATGATGCTTTCATGATGAATGTTCTCTAGCCCAAGGGAACTTTTAGAGAGATTTCATCGATCCTGGTTGTCTTAATTGAAAGCTCCCTTTCAAATCCCAGTCTGTTCAAGATTTGCCTCCTCAGAACCTTCTGTTCTGGAGAACCAAATATAGAAAGAATAGGCTTAGCTGCATTAGGAAGAATTTTGCTCTTGCTTTCTTTTTTGCTCACAGACCACCCTATTAAAGGAGCCCCCTTTTCTCTTTGGGGATGCCAGTCCACCATTCCCCCTGGTGTAGGAGTGAAGCCCAATCCCCCTTCTGCAGCAATGGCTCCAGTAAGTCTTAGCCTGTGATTTTGATGGACAGTGGGAGTCTTTACTGAGGGAAGGAAGTATCCC